GGAAGCTTCCAGAGACCCAGATACAAATAGTAAAGCGTTGAAAAATTCTATTTTCCCTTTGTACTATAACCTTCCAGAGCTCTCTCTCTCTCTCTTCCAAACTGCCACCTGTTTTGAAGACAAGGGCTAGATTTTTTTTTAATGTTTTATTTATGTGTTCATTTATCAGTGCTGGGGTTGAAGCCAGGGCCTTGTACTTGGGAGGCAAGCATTCAATCCACTGACTCAAACTCCCAGTCTCAAAAGCTGCTTTTATTTACTTCTCCATTCAGTGTTCCCAGGGCCTAGAAAAGGCTGGGCCACATGGTAGAACTTTGCTTAACAACTAGATCTGTAAGACTTGATCCCCTATCACATTTCCCACGTTTACCTATCCTTTAATTCCCATACCTCACATGAACGCCATCTGCTCCTGCCTCGTGAAATTACCTTTCATCTCTCAAAGCCATCATGCACAGTGCATAGCCACCTCTCTCTACGCTCTCTTCTACCCAGAATCATCCTAGAAACGGACAGCAGGACAAAGCAGAGGCTTTGTGTGACTCTAGTTCCCTGCCTTTGGGGGTAAATAGTATTTTACGAGAAGATGTCCATACACATTTGTTTATGTGTTGTGAACAGCTGTTTCGGCACTGCTAGGGCAGCACTGAGCAGGAGCTACTGAGACCATAGCAACTAAAGTATTCACTTTAGGGCTCTTTACAGAAAATTGCTACTAACCTGTGTTAGAGCAAAAGTGCCGGCTGGGGATGAGACAGACCTCAATATGAACCCTGCTCTGCTCATGTGCATATGTGGACATTAGGAAGACAGGTGTGTGGATAGGTAGATAAATGGTGGATACGTACCTATATATGATAGATAGATATGACAGACGATTGATAGAGCGATGACAGATGATAGACACATGATAGATACATGATAGACACATGATCGATAGATGATAAATGGAAGACAGACACACAGATACTAGATAGATGACAGGTAGAGGTGACAGGCAGATAATAGATAGATGACCAGCAGATAGATACATAGATAGATGACAGAAAGGTAGCAGACAGATGGTAGGCAGATAGATGATAGATGATTGATAGATAGATAGATAGATAGATAGATAGATGATAGACAGATAGATAATAGATAGGTAGATATAGATAGATGGATGATAGACAGACAGATTAATAGATGATAGACACAGATATATATAGATGATAGATAGTAGATGATAGACGGATTGATACATAGATGATAGAGAGATAATAGATGATAGGCAGATAGATGATAGACAGATAGATGTATAGATATAGATAGTAGATAGATGACAGACAGATACATAGATGATAGAAAATAGATGATAGATGGATGGATAGATAGATAGATAGATAGATAGATAGATGATAGATAGATAGATAGATAGATAGATAGATAGATAGATAGATAGAGTCAAACAGAATGTAGCTAGATGGTAGATAATAGACAAACAAACAAGTTATTGATAGACAGATGTGCTGGAATGTTGACAACATCTGTCTCTGCATGTGTCTGTGACAGAATTTCCATAGACAGATCATGAGGATTCGGATATGCTTGATAGTTTTATCCATGGATGAATTCAAAATCTGAAGAAGATGGGATTTGGTCAGAGAAAGCAGGTCACCAGAGACAGGCCTTTGAAAATATGCCATTCCCTCTGCCACTTCCTGTTGTGTTTCTGCATCCTGGTTGGCATGGGGATTATACAATTTGCTATATATATAGTCTATATGAACTTCACATTACTGAAACAAAACACCTGAACTTTGCTCAACAGCAGTGGAAAACCAAAATATGTTCCAGAGTAAGACTGTGAGTTGGCCAGACAGATTTGGTCATAACTTGCATTTGTCAGTTTTTCATCTCTGTAGTGAAATACCTGAGACAGTCTATGTGGTAGTTTGAATGTAATTGGTGCCCATAATCTCATAGGGAGTGGCACTATTAGGAGGTGTGGCCTTGTTGGAGTAGATGTAGTCTTGATGGAGAAAGTGTGTCACTGTGGAGGTGGGATTTTAGGTCTCATATATGCTCAAGATACAACCCAGTGTTGCAGACCACTTCCTGTTGCCAATAAGATGTAGGACTCCCAGCTACTTCTCCAGTACCACGTCTGCCTACATGCCACAATGTCCCACCATGATGATAATGGGCTGAATTTCTGAAAATGTAACCCAATTAAATGTTTCTCCTTTATAAGGGTTGCTGTGGTTATGGTGTTTCCTCACAGCAATAGAAACCCTAAGACAGGTTATTTACAATGAAAAGGGCGTTTATTCAATTCAGAGGTTTGGAGGTTCAAGGTCCCAGTGATGTGATCTATAAGTGCACGAACAGGGTTGCTTTCTTTCTCAATGTAGAGTTAAAAGTTACTGCTGCTTACTGGCTTGCTCCTCAGAGCCTTCTCAGCCTGCTTTCTTACACCATCCAGGACCATCTGCCCTGGGCTGGTACTTCCCACAGTGGGCTGGACTCTCCCATACCAGTCACTAATTAAGGCCAATCTTATAGAGGCGTTTTCTCAGTTAGGATTCCCTCTTCCCAGATATATCTAGGTTCCTGCCAAGTTGACAAACTCCAACCTCAACACTTTTGGAGGTGGGGGATGTTTATTGCTGTTGTGGTGGTGGTGGTGGTTGTGGTAGTAATGGTTTTTTATTTTGTTTTATTTGAGACAGGGTATCACTATGTACCCAAATTGACTCAAATACATGATCCTCCTGTCTCAGCCTCCTTAGTCTTTGGATTATAGGTGTGAGTTGCTATATTTATATTTGGTTTTGGTGGTGGTGGTGGTGGTGGTGGTGGTAGTGGTAGTGATGGTGGAGGTGGTGGTGGTGGCAATGGTGGTGGTTGTGATGATGGTGTCGGTGCTGGTGATGGTGGTTGTGTTACTAAGGGTGGTAGTGATGGTGGTGATAGTGATGATGATGGTGGTGATGGTGGTGGTGGTAGTGTTGCTATTTTTAAGAGGGTCTCATGTAGCCCAGGCTAACCTGAAACTTGCTATGTAGTCACAAGTAACCTTAAGCTCCTGATCCTCCTGCCTCTACAGTCAAAATGCTGGGATTGCACACCTGTACCCTCAAACCTCACTTGCATTTGTTCTTAATGGACACGCACTTGTTCTTATATGTGGAGTAAAGTAAGTGCCCTTGATACACACCTATAGAGAGTTAGGGTCAAACCCGAGCAATGTGTTTTTCTGTGGCGTGAAACTCTAAACTCTCTCCTTTTGAAATCTGTAACAAATGGTTATGGGTTGTGGGTACCAAAATGGAGTTAGAGAAGAATTGGGTCTAATGCACCAGAGAACGAGTTTGCTTTTATTGACTTGGGGTAGGACATAAATTCAGACCTGTAGAAGTACTAAAGCTGGTGAATGATGGGAAGGGATTAGTCGAACCCTTTCAAAATGAAATGAGGGAAGAAGTAAGGAAGATCAGAGCACTGAGATCCAAAACCAACAGCCAGCTGCAAGATCACGCCTTTCGTCCTCAGTCTTGTGTGCTTTAGTCACGCCCTTGGACACGGTTCTCCCATGAAGACAAGGGCTCCAACGAGCACGAGGATAATGAATGTGAAAGACCATTATATTTAATATTCTAATATCATTAATGCATCCTCAGCTAGAGAGCAAAGACTTTCCAAATTCATAATTTCTTGCTCCGACACACACCATGAAATGGGCTTTCTAAATCACAGGGGCACGTTCTGGCATCTCCTTTATTAAAATAAGTCTATTTTATTTCTTGGATCCGTGCAGCCTAAGCAAGCGTTCTAAATATTTAAGACACTGGGAGAGAAAATGCCAGTGACTATGAGACTGGCAGCCTGCTGCCCACCATCTAGTTAGACTGAACACTGGCTTCAAGGTCTTCTTGTCCTGGGGACTGAGGAGATGGAGGGCTCAGCAGTTAAGGGAACATTGCTGCTCTTGGAGATGACCCAGGTTCAGTTCTCAGCATTCATGTTAATGGTTCACAACCATCCATAACGTCAATTCCAGGGGATCCAAAGTCCTTTTCTGACCTTGGTGGGCACCCACATGGTATACATACTTACACACAGGCAAAACACTGGTCCACATAAAATAAATAAATCTTTAAAAAAAAAAGTTAAAGACTAGTCAGGCGATGGTGGCACACACCTTTAATCCCAGCACTTGGGGGGCAGAGATAAGCAGATCTCTGTGAGTTCAAGGCCATCCTGGTCTACAAGAGCTAGTTCCAGGATAGGCTTCAAAGATATAGAGAAACCCTGTCTTGAAAAAAAAAAAATGTAAAGAAGCATCCTGACTTTAGTCTGCACACTGAATTTCTATAAATACACTCTGTTCATGTGTGTGTGCACATGTGCATGTGTGTGCGTGGGTGCCCACTCATGTTGTGTGTGTTCCTCTGTGTGAGGTGCATATGCAAGTGTGGTGCCTGTGTGTGGAGACCAGAGGTCAGAGGTCAACACCTCAGGTGTCATACACCTTGAATTTTGAGACAGGGTCTCTCACTGGGAGTTGGGGTTTGTCCATTTGGCTAGGCTGGCTGATAGCAAATCCCTAGGGATTCTCCTGTCTCCACCCTTCCAGCTGTAGGACTACAAAGACACACCACCATACCCAGTGTTTTGCATGGATGTGGAAGCTCAAACTCCGGTTCTCAAGTTGGCACAGCAGGTGCTTTACCAACTCAGCATCTCCCCCGCCCAGATGTCCTCTTCGATTTGCATTTTCCATTTTATCTGCAGACAAAAAAGGGAAAGTAGCTGATACACTGCAGTGGTTTGAATAGGAATGCCCCCGCAGAGTCATCTGCTTGAATGCTTGGTCACCAGGGAGTGGCACTATTAGGAGGTGCGGCTTTGTTGGAGAAAGTGTGTCACTGGGGTACACTTTGAGGTCTCAGATGCTCAAGCCTGGCCAGTGTGTCACATTCTCTTCCTGCTGCTGAGGATCCAGATGTAGAACTCTCAGCCACCTCTCCAGAACCATGTCTTCCTGTCTGCCACCATGCTTCCTGCCATGATGGCGGTGGACTGTCCTTTATAAGTATTGCTGTGGTCATGGTGTCTCTTCACGGCAGTAGAAATCCTAAGTAAGACAGACATGCTCATTATGTTCCCTCTGAGTTGAACCTTTATGATCAATAACTACATTTAGGGAAATTATTGATAACTTGGTTCTTAATAGAGTCTGCCTCAATAACTGCTCATCTGAAAAACTACTTTCAACCTTCATTTTGGTCTTCAAAGAAATAAAACCATGTATGAAGACTGTTCTAGTTTCATTCTGTTGCTTTGACAAATAACATAACCAGAAGTAACTTAGTGGAGGAAAGTGTTTATTTGACTTAGAATTCTAGGTCGTAGTCCGTCACTGAGGGAAGTCAGGGCAAGAATTCAAGGAGGAACTTGAAGCAGAAATCTTGGCGGAACACTGCTGGCTGGCACACAAGCAGGTTCCGGCTTAGTTAATACAGCCCAGGACACTGGCCCAGTGGGCTGCGATCTCCTACATCACTTAATAGTCAAGGCCATCCTCCACAGACTTGCTTAGAGGTCAGTATGATCTAAACAATTCCTCCACTGTGACTCCCTTCTTAGGTGACTCTAGACTGTTATTTTGGCAGTTAAAGCTGGCTAGGACAAAGACCATGTTCCTAGGAGCACCTAAAACACTTGTTATCTGTGCACAAAGAGCAATTTACATGATGTGTGAAAATCATGAATGCTTTTAAGGATAGAAAGCACTTCTCTGGACACTGAGTTCTTGGTCACTTGGAGCTGGGCTTCTAGAGAAGTGTCTTCCCTGGCTCAGGTCTTATCTCCCGTTCTTTGTATCATCCTCTCAATGTCATTAAAATGGGCTTTGAAAAAATACCCTCCAGGGAAATCAGCTAGTGAGCTGTCCAGAAACAAGGATTCTAGGTAAGTGCTCTAGAACGGAGCCACACCTTATCCCCTCATTGGGGGATCCTGGGCAAACATTCTATGACTGAGCCAGAACCCCAACCCCTTACAGCAGGCTTGCAAAGTTTGTCCTGTGTACATTTACTAAGCTCCAGGAAGCAACCATCACGGAGGTTTTTCTTTTCCTGGTGTGGTTAGACAGCTTGTGAGGGGTATGGGGAGCATCCCTATCATATCCGCCCTGTTGGAATGATGCTGGCTGGCAACCCAGGCATGCTCAGACTTAGATAGCTTCCTTATAAAGCCCAGGACCTAGCTATTGACTGATTGCCTAGAAAATGTCCCGAGCCTTTATCCCCTGAAAATATCATTCTCGACTGGATCGTTTCATTCTCAAGCTGCCTTCGATGGATGGGAAAAAGCCATTTGACTTGCAAAGCTGATTACGAATTATTTTCTGATTACAGATTTATTTTGTTTGTGACAAAACGCTTCCCGCTAATTGCTAAAATAATCTTGGAGGCACTTGCCTCCGAACACCTCATTTATTAACCCGCTGTAGTTTCTCCCTCATCCATGTTTTCACCTTTTTTTGTACACCTATTTACAGGATCACTAATCTTCATCAATATCTTTAGGGCCCTTGAGAAGCAACTGGTCTGGGCTATAAGAAATTCAGGTCTGGGCTGGGGGGGTGGGGGTTTTCAGCAGAGAGATGGTAGAAGAAGGAATCATGGAACAGGATTGTTTCAATGGGGGAAGGGGAAGAAAGACTAGAGGAAGAAATACATGGAAAACAATAACTATCACTAAAGACCTTTTGAAAATGTCATATGGGGACCTACTACTAAGAAACTTTCTCAAAACATACACATACAGGTGTGAAAAGAATTTAAATTGAATTACCTTGTAACAGAGCAACAATGCCTCTACTGGACACCACAAGTGAGAAAATAAAAAGGTCAGGGCTATGAATGGGTTACCTCTGTTAGTCTTGTTGACTATAGAATCTCAAAGATTCCCAAACAGACTATTGCTGATGCTATTGGCTGCCCTCAGACATTGCAGTATGACCCTACTGCTAAAGATGCTACATGCTTGAACATGAGGAAATAAAACTAGCACTTACCTGGAATCTTGATCCGTACTGGCAAACCTTCACAGTGCTGAAGGTTCTGTGCACACTACTAGAGGAGAAAAGCAGTCATCAGTCCCACTCGCTGTGAACCCTATGAGCTAGAGTAAAAACCGGCCTGGTAAGATACGATGCAATAGTGGTGCAAACATCATGGGAGCAACTACACACTTTCTGATTGCATCTGGAGGCTGCTCCAAAAGATGGAGCCCATATTTGCCATCATTAATGGATCTGAAAACCTATGCCCAGGTATGTCAAAGACCCTAGGGAAAGACCCAGCACGGAACGATTCTGCTAAATGATCGTGGTATTAAACCAACTCCTAAAGACTTACTGGTCTATCCACATATTAGTGCTGCTCTCCACCCTCCTCAGAGAAGCTTATTCTTGTGCAAACAACAACTGACATGGATGGTCGACCTGCAAAGAACAAGAGGCTCTATCTTTTTCTTAGCAAAAAAAAAATACTTTATAAATAGGCAAAAGTGATAAAAATTACATTAAATATAATGTCATTGAAAAACAGACTTGGAAAAATTAGAATCAGTATAGACGAAAAACTAAAAAACACTAAAATTTAGTTTATATTAAGACATTGGAACTACTCCATGGTGTTTGTTCTGAAAATCTGAATCATATTTAAAATGTTGCTAAGAATAAAATTCTTTTTTAATTGAAATTTTTTATGTAATATATTCTGATTAGTTTTCCCTCTCTCTAGTCCTTCCAGGTCCCTGGGCCCCCATCCTCCTTCCTATCCACATCCACACCTTTTCTGTCTCTCCTTAGAAAACAAACAAGCATCTAAGAAATAATAGTAAAATTTAAAAACATAAAACAGACAAATCAAAATAGGACAAAACAAACAGAAGAAAAAGAGTCAAAAAAGCACAAGAAACACATATAGACACAGACACATACATTCATGCACACAGGAACCCCATAAAAAGACAAAAATGGAAGCCATAATATAATACACAAAGGACCTTCAAGAAGAAGAAAAAAATCAAAATAAAATGCTCTGACCCAACATTATGAGACAAAGAAACTCCAAAGATGCCCCCGAGTTCATTTCATGTTGGCCATCTACTGCTGGGCATGGGGCCTACCCTTAAGAGTTGTTTGTTTCCCCAGTGAGACCCCCTGTGAGTTTGTGGGGACCCATTACATCAGACTACCACAGTGCATTTACATCATATCCTCCTCCCCAGGTTCAGGGATCGTTGTCACCAAAGAGGGGGCAGAAAGTCTGTAAGAACCAGAGGTAGTGAATGACACCCTGAAGCCGTGCTTCCTAGGAACAACAGGGCAGTTGCACATATGAAATCACAGTGTCTGTGAGTGTGTGCACAAGATCTGTGTAATCTCAAGGCAGACAAAAACTCAGGCGGAGGGCAGGTGAGTATAAAGTTTCACCCCTAATGAGCATCTATTGGCAATTGATAGCCCCTAAGAGAGGGAGTCCTTTTAAGGGTGTGATCAGCCACACTCCAGAGGCTGGCCCCATGTCCAAGAATATTTGGGCAGCAAAAATCGAACTCAGTGAGTTTTAGAAACAAAACAAGAGAATATGGGGTTAAGTAGGTAAGAAAGTAGAGGCAGATCTGGGAGGAGTTGTAAAACAAGGGGGAGGATGTAAAAGTGATCAAAAAACATTTATTCTCAAAGAATTAATAAAAAGGGATATTTAAAAGACATGGATGATTGGGCTGGCCCACACCTGCAATCCCAGCATTCAGGGTGGTGAGGTGGTAAGATTCCAGTTCAAGGCCAGCCTGGGCTACATAGTATGTTGTGGGATAATCCTTTTGTACACTGTGAAGATATGTCTTTGCCAAGAACCTTGTGATTGGTTTGATAAAGTGTTGACTGGTCAATAGGTAGGCAGGAGAGGATGGCAGGATTTCTGGGGAGAGAGAGGAAGAGGAGGAAGAATCTAGGATTTCACCAACAGAGTTGGGGTGTTGCTATACTGAGGAGAGGTAACTGAACCATGTGACGGAACGCAGATTAAAAAGTATGGGTTAACTAAGTTATAGGAGCTAGTTGGAAACCAACCTAGCCTAAAGGCAAAGCTTTCGTAATTAATAATAAGTCTCTGGGCCATTATTTGGGGGCTGACAATCAAATATAGTCCAACAAAAATGCTTACTACAATAGTGAGATCCTATCTCAGGTAGGGGTGAATCCCAGTTAACAACTGACCCTCTACCTTGCTTACCAAGTTGTTGGTCAGGGAGAAATGAAATGTCCTCTCAGCTTGAATTACAATGGGAGATGGAAGGCAATGGAAATGAATCACTGATGGTTGTTGACCAAGGTTTCTGTCCCACCTGGTCCTGCAGTCATTCAGTCCCAGAAAAACACACAGAGGTCTACATTAATTATAAACTGGCTGGCCTATTAGCTCAGGCTTCTTATAACTGTTATAACGTATATTAGTCCATAATTCTTGCCTATATTAGCCATGTAGCTGAGTACCTTTCATTAGGGAGGCATTCTCATCTTGCTTCCTCTGTGTCTGGCTTCCTCTGTGTCTGGGTGATGACTGTAGACTGATCTTTCCTCTTCCCAGAATTCTCCTGTTCTTATTATCCTACTTCTACTTCCTGCCTGGTCATCTCACCTATACTTCCGCCTGGCTACCAGCCAATCAGCATTTTATTAAAAATAATACAAGTGACAGGACAAAAGACCACTGTCCCACAGCACATGATCAATGGAGAAATCCATTCTTCATTTGCCTCTGGCCCTCAAGAAAATTATTATTGAACATATTGGAAAGAGTAACAAGAAAGTGTCTAGAAAATATTCACTGTTTCAGCAATATTGATAACTGAGTAGTGTGTGTGTGTGTGTGTGTGTGTGTGTGTGTGTGTGTGGTTTTAGATAGAGCGTCCAGGGCCTTGCACTTGCTAGGCAAGTAATCTCCCACTGAGCAATGCATACCCAAAGTCCTTCATAGGCTGTTCTTACAAGTGCTCCACCACTGAATTATATCCTCAGAACCCCCAATGGGAGGGGGGGGTTCTAAGCAACTGCTCTATCTCTGAGCCAAGCCCCTAGCACCTTACTGGGGAATTCTAGCAAATGCTCTACTGGTAGCACATATCTAGAACTCAGGAAATAGAGGCAAGAGGAATGGGAGTTCATCTTTGGCTACCTAGTGAGTTGGAAGCCAGCCTAGACTATAAGAGACTCCATCTCAAAAATAAGAGGAGAGGAGATGAGGGACTGGAGAGATGGCTCTGTAGTTAACAGCATTTGATCTTCTAAAATATCCAAGTTTGCCTCCTAGAATCCACTTTGAGTAGCTCACAACCACCTAAAACTCAAGATTCAGGCCGGGCAGTGGTGGCTCACGCCTTTAATCCCAGCACTCGGGAGGCAGAGGCAAGTGGATCTCTGTGAGTTCGAGGCCAGCCTGGTCTACAAGAGCTAGTTCCAGGACAGGCACCAAAGCTACAGAGAAACCCTGTCTCGAAAAAACAAAACAAAACAAAACAAAACAAACAAACAAAACAAAAAACAAAAAACTCAAGACTCAGAGGATACAACATCCTCTTCTGGCTTTCTTGGGCACCATACTCACATGCACACAGAGGAGAGAGGGGGGAGGGGGAGCGGGAGGGAGAGGAAGAGAGAGAGAGAGAGAGAGAGAGAGAATTTAAATTTTTAAGAAAAGAAAAAGACAGAATTTTTATCTCACTCCTATCTCCAGTTCTACTTAGCCAAATTTCATGTCAAGTTGACCTTCAATCATTTGCCTTTTGGGATCCTATTCAAGCTCAGCTCTGCTAAGACTTCCTTCCTGGTGGGCTGTTGTACTCATTGCAAAGGCCTTTCCTGGATCTGGCAGGGAACTGCCTATAATTACCCTTAATGTACTCCTGGAGCAAAGATACGCGCATTAAGAGCCAAAATAGAAGGTTAACTACAAACTGTGTAGTAATGCAATTACCTCCCAATTATCCTTTCCAACACTTAGGGAATGAATAGGAGACATTAAGCCCAACTCTGCAGGAGAGTCTCTGGTTTTTGCCAGTGGAGTGGAGGTTGGAAGGGGCAGAAGGTGGAACAGCAACCAATGGAAGCTGGCAGTGATGAACGTGGGGTGATGGTGGCACCTCAATGCAATTATCCCCATGGGTATCAAATCACCTTTTTCCCTAGTTTAGGTTTTGTTTTGTCATTGTTGCTTTGTTTTGTTGTTGTTTTTGAGTCAGGGTATCACTTTGTAGCCCATGCTGTTCTCAGGCTTGTAACAATCCTCCTGCCTCTGCCTTTCAAGTAATAGGAAAACAGACATGAGCCACTCCGCCCTGTGATGGTGGGCATCATTCATATTCTTCCACTCGTGGCCTGGAGTGATGTCTAAATGGGTAAAGTGCTTGTGGAGGAAGCGTGAGGAGTTGAACCCACATAAAGCCAGACACAGTGGTGCACATGTTGCTAACACCAGCACTCCTGCTTTGAGGTGGGAGGCGGAGACAAAATCCCCAGAAGCTCACGGGCCAACTAGCCTGGTGCACAGAACAGCTAAGTAAAGAGACTGCTTCAAACAAGGTGGAAGGCAAGACCAGTGCCTCAGATCATCTTCTGATCTCCAGTACACATGGTGGCAAATGCGCATCCACATTCATTCCCTCATACACATGCTTATTATTATTATCATTTATTGCTGTTGTTGTTATCATTATTATTGTACTATTCCGATAGCTCCAGAAGTAAAGGTGATGATCTATTATTATTATTATTATTATTATTATTATTATTATTATTATTATTGTACTATCCCGATATCTCAAGAAGTAAAGGTGCTTGCTGCCAAGACTGAGCACCTGAGTTAGATCCTCAGGTCTCACAGGGAAGAGGGGAAGGAAACAACTTCCCCAAGTTGTCTTCTGACTCCCATGGGCATGCCATGACATACATGTGCCCACACACACGCACAGGCAGACAATAAATCATTGTTCTTTTAAAATCCTTCAATTTGCATTCCACTAAATGTGGGCTAGGTCATCAACTATCACAAACCTGTGTAAGACT